AGCCAAAAGAACAAAGTAAAAATAACAAAACAAAAGCTTAAGAAGTTTATTTTCTAAAAACCCCTTGTTGCTTATAACAGATACTGGTAACTTTTATTAGTTATTGATGTATGATTTGCGCTAATTTTAAAAAATTGTAAAAAATAGATTCTTTTTTGTTTTGTTCTGCTTTTACTTTGGTGTTAATATTTTAGATAAGTGTAAATTTAAAGTTTTCCAGATGTTCATTGTCTGCAGTTGTTGCAACACCGTCCAAAATCAGCTTCTAGACGTGTGATGTTGCCTGTGACCTTTTCAAATAACCTTTTTGCTTTGTTTAATATAACAAATGTCAATTTTGTTAGACTATATTTATGAGAATAAAAACTTCTACCAAATTGAGCATATTTTTGAAATAAACTTAACTGAATGAAATTGAAGCATAACTGAATTAAAACATTACAAATTTTAATAAACATTTCTCTACCAATTTGATCTATGTGTCCCAAGATTGTATTCAACTGTTTCTTAGTTTGCTTTAGACCACTGATAACAGTCTTACAACTACCCAGTTGTATAAGACAGTTGTAAAAAAAAAAAAAAAGGCAATTTGAAAAAGAAAAAGAATTTGCAGAAAATTATATTTAGAGAAAAGCTGAAAAGAAAAAGAGATAGAGAAAGTTTAAAAAAAGGACGAATAATTATCAAGACTGACTCCTTTTGATCGAATAAACCTCTGTGCTAATGTGAGTATTATGAGATTTCAGAAGCCTCTGACAGATCATGATTGAAAAATTGGATGTTAACGCCTTGTTTGCCAATCTTTTCTTGAATGAACTCTAAGGGCAGCTATCATTTAATGCAAAAATAAAATCCATCAACTTCAACACAGCTTTAAGAACATTTGTAGTGGTAAAACAAGTTTAGTTATCTCAAACTAACATTGAATTTTATTTGTTTTCATATACACTTTTTCCGTCACAAATGTTTAATTAAATCACAGAGCAACTATTGTTCATACTGTTTGCCGTTTTTTTATGAACTATCAGTTTCAATAATCAGTAAACAAAAAAAAAAATTTTTTTTTGAATAGAATTGTCTCGTCCCAGTTGACTACAAACCTTTGCATAAACATTGAGGTCTCTTACAACAATCAAATTCTTTGCAATTTTTTAATATACAAATAATAACAGTCAACCTACAGCTGCATGCATTGTGCACCAGAGTACTCTCAGCTAAGTTTCGCAATGGACCTTCTACACTTCCCCAGTTATATCATTTTTGACGGGTTTTTATTCAGTTTATACCCGATATTTTGTCAGTATTTCTTGAAGAATAAAAATTTTGTTTTTTCAGCAGCACCTAATAAATCTTTGCAATATTATTATTTCTTTATTCCTGTCAATGATGGACCTTTGTTTCTAAACTTTTTACGGCGACAGTTAACTAGCATTTGAATTCTGCTGCTTTGTTAATGCTTTTGTATCACTTCACTTACACAACTGAACGGACTAATCCACTGACAGACTTATTCGAACAGGAGAAGCCTTTTAAAACTTTCCCATAAAGCTTCAACATTATGCTGCCGTTCTGCTATTACTTTTTCTAAAGATATCCGTTGTTTTATTTATAATTTTATTTTCTCAATTAGTCTTTTATCCTGTTTTCTGTTTGCTGATTCTGCAAACAATCTTTTTTTTAAACAATCAACAAGTAAAATTTAATGACGTTAAAGCATTTTTTGTCGCTATCGAACAACATTATCACCAACTACGAGAGCGAGAAAAAGGCGTTTTTTCCTACTGAAACATTGCAGTATTCCGTATATTTTTTGAAGGTCATTACTACCATACTAATTTTCTGTGTACATTTACTTACCGTTTATTAACTTATATGACAAATAAACTCAGTTAGAAAAATGCCACATAATCTACTGTAACAAAAATTGTAAATAAAAAACAAGCATTTTCTGTAAGAGCAGCAGTATTAGGCAGAAATTACACCAAATAATTCGTGGTATAATGCTTGTAGAAGTCAGGATGTCTTTAATTAGGATACTTCAAGTAGACGAAACATCTGTTTTCACTAGCGTGATATAAAAACTTACACCAAATGCTTACAGTACCAAAAGCAGAATGTCAAATAAAAAATCCATAAAACCTTTGTTCCATAATTTAACAACGCTTTGATGTCACATCTGATTTTTAATGCACTTCGGTTTTACCCTCGTTAAGAGTCGAATAAGCTATACTTAGTTTAACCAAGACTGTAAACTTACTTTCAATAACCAACTGACGTCGGCAAAAAGAAAAAAAATACTGTAGCGGATCCTTAAATTCTTACTTTTTTGTCCACTGTTCCTCCAGACATAACATTAAGCATTAAACACATACAGTTTATTCTCTGCCTCATCTTTGTTTAACTATCGTTTATTTAATTTAATGAAGGAAAATGGCAGTTAGTATAAATACGCCTGTAAAACCTAAACACAGATTCAAAAGTATAATATTTTATTTCTTTATTAACAGAGGCTGATAACTTATGATAGGGATAGTGATGGAGTATCAAATTAAATATTTAGTACAGATAAATCGTAGAATTTTTGCAAAAAAAAAAAAAAA